CACATGAGGGATGGGATGGGATGGGACGATGGCACACTCCAGAGGATGGGAAGCGTACAGCGAGTGAAAGCCACTGCGTGAGGTGCAGTATCTCCCAACTAGTATAATCCAGTACAGTCCCGTCCATGCCGTTCCGAACTCCCGGTTGACCAAGACCCAGCTGAACATATATATGCGGACGGGACAGTGCAAGTATAGGTAAGGGAAGTGAAGATCGCCGTTGACTTTATCATTTTCGGTTTCCCCTTTTTCTTTTCTTCCTTTTTTCCAACGGTGATAATGGGATGATATGGTTTGGAAGTGTTCAAACGAGGATGGGAATGCATCCTATACGGTGTGAGTATCCGTCCATCGTGCAATAGAAACTCCATGTCAATATCTAATTCAGCCTAGCTTGAGCCTGGAACCAAGGGGGGCGTTCTTCAGAATGTAATGTGATGAGGTCTATGCCTGTCCGTTACGGCCGGTGGTGTTTGTGAACCAGTCGGGTGGTCTCCTTGATGGAAGTTTATCAGTTATCATAGACGACAACGGGATTCATGGACACTAGCGATGGAAAGAGTGTAGCGTGTGGGAAGCACAGTGTTTACAATTTTGGATGAGACGTGAAATCTTCATTGATGGGAATTCTGGGTATATCTAGAATCTAGAAGTTGCCTACTTTGAAGCATGAACTGGCGTTTTCTGGAGCGAACAACGGCTGATGATTTTCAGATACAATCGTAAAGGGGCGTACACGGCATAATAAATGATTATAAAAAAAATATGTATACATTTGTGGTGATATGTAAGGGTTCGAATATTGTAGTGAACATAGAACATGAGTGTATCGTAAAGAAAAAAGATAAAGAAACAAGAAAGAAAAAAACCCGGTTGGCAGTGCAGAAATATAGGATAGTCTAGCATCTAGTCATATTGGACCAAAGATCGTTGGTTCAAGTGTCACGACATCAGCAGTATCAAATCTAGTAGAGTTTGGCGTATTCACGACGAGTCTAGCTTATCAGGTACACGAGTTGAGTTATCCAACGTAAGACCTCGAAGGCAACGATGTAGTTAGGAATGTCCGTCATTCGTGTTGTGCCGACCAGTATACCCGCACGACTCACTCTAACCGTTTCCCCCAGCCACAGACGTCTGATTCAATACCCAGACTCATCATTCCAATACTCAGTCTCGTGGAAGACCCTACAAAAAGGTATATCAGCATTGCAATGTCGCTGGCGATCTGTAAGGTCCAAGGAAAAGAAAAGGAGAAAGAAACTTACTGAGGCCCAGTAGCATAAAACTCCCACCCAAAAGTCATTTTAATAAACTGCTGCAAATGACTAGCAACCTTAATAGCCCCTACATCCGTAGGATGCCACTGGGGCCCGATATCATTATGCTGCATGATGCCCGTGGTGTTGAAGTAGTGCACAAAGGGCTTGGTCTTCTTGCCGGTTTTCAGTGTTTTCTTTGTCACTCCATCGTATACGATCGGGTTCCGGAGGTAGTCATCCGAGTTGAACCACTTGTACATATGGTAGATCTCGTTGACGAAGCCCTGGGGCGCATTGGGAAGGTAGGTGTTGCCGGATTGGTAGAAGCCTAACCAGAGAGACTGTGTAGGAGAGAATCTGTGTAAGTGGGGTGCGGAAAGTATCAAAGGAATGGAGTTATTGAGGCGGGACATACCATGACCACAACATGGGCTTTGGGCCACTTGCCATGGATACCTTGAATGATTCTTGTTAAAGCGTCGATGTAGATAGTTGTGGAGACGTTGTTGTGTGAGTTTTGATCGTTGGTGCCGATATTGATGACGACTATGTCGGCGGCTGGGCGCTTGCTAAAGTCCCATGGCTCGGGGTTGTCTGTAACACATGTTAGCTTGTATCCATATCTTTAGTTTAGGGTCTCAAAGGCACGATGAGGTTCCAAAAGTACCTCCATACATGACAGAGGCTCTGGGGCTCGTATCCGATGTATAAAACCATTGATGGACCTGCCCGTGAGGGTTGCCCCAGCAGTTTTGATCTGCCGCGCAGATGCCTGGATATGCAGTTATACTATATTCTGTGTCTCCAAAACCTGCACCAAGTCCGCTGTTTTGACATGTTAGTTGTATCTGCCACAATGTGTCAAGCTTGTGGCTCAACGCTTTTCACGGGGGTTTCCGCGGGAAACCCTTCTCCAGAACATTGACGCCTTTGTGTAAGAGAAACGAGACTTACTATGCCCAGCTCGATAGTCCTTCGTACGAGGTATACATTCCCGAGGCAAGACTGTCACCGATGACCTCGATACAACGACCATAATCAGGAATTCTGATCAGCTTTTCGCCCTTGGCAACGTGCACGGACTCGATCTGAATTCCATATGCCCAGTTCGTCACTCGCAACTCAAAGATTGAGGGACTTATGGGCGCCATCAAGTCAGACCCTGGGGTCTCTGGAGACACAAAGAGGTGTGTACCGCCCGCCGTGACGTTGGTGAAGATCCAATCCAGGCCGGAGATACGGTACCCAACAAGAACACCATCGCTGGTCCAATTTCCAAAAGTGACTGCCACTGTTTGCCCGGTATATCCGAACTGGATTCCGGGAGCCCTATATACCCGTTAGAAACTATGTCCATGATATCGGTTAACAAACGACTTACGACCACCAGGAAACGTATTTGGAATCCCATCGCCCTTTGTAGGAAATCTCACTCGCATTTCGCGGGTGCGTGTTGAAGGAGTATGACGACGGGTCAATCCGCGTGTCGGGGAAGTTGGTTATCCGTGGTTGACCGTTTTGGAGAATAGTGGCCGAGGTTGACAAGAAACTCAGGCCAAAGACGGTCAGTCTTGATAATGACCACATAATGCTGCTCTCTGTATGTCTCGAGCGGGCAGCGAAATGATACTGGTCCGGGAACTCAAGTTTGTCTACAAGGGAAAATCCGACATGACATCACCGAGAGAGAAGGAGCGGATGATCTCATTCTATATCCTCGGAGGGAGCAGCCCGGGTCAAGAGCTTATAGGATCGATCCGTGACGGTCCGGAAGAAGAGGATGTCGTTGCCGCCAGCCCAATAGTCTTGCATTCGGTGTCACATCGCTCGATGTGATATTTTGACTTTTGAAGGGAATAAAGTTGCTTTTGCCTTAGCCCTGCATCCCTCGTCTTGCTTCATAGCCATGGAGCTACACTGCGGTCACCGGCACATGCGCTTTGTCTAGTGTTGTTGGGTCACGGGTTTGACCGAACCGGCATGAACTATAGTCGGACAACATGAGAACAAGGCGCCTTGCGTACCTAAGGAAATCTACCAGGTCAATGAAGATGTGCCGAACTCGACGGGAAAGCTAACAATCTTCCTATAATCCTCTCTCAACACCAGTGTGACTGCGAATATTTTGGAGTGCCGCTGACCTCGGAAGAGGGCGCTCCGGTTGCCCCGATTAAGAACCCAGAGGGTACCTTTAGCAAGATGATACCGATGGAATTCCGGTTGACGAGTCTCGTTAAAGCCCAAAGGCTTTGCGGATGTCTAATCGCTCGTATACGCACATATACAAAGCGCGCGAAGGTCCAGATGTGGCGCACAGAGGTTGATCGTGTCGTGCTTTGATCGAATGTGTGGATGCAACCAAAGATCGTTTTCATCCTTGGACACTCATCGCCGCAGCTATTGAATGTTTGCCAGATGCCTAGTAAGTTTCAAGACCACCTTGGAAAGCGCCCCAAAGGTTGGCTGGTAACACACTCAAGTCTGGTGGTGGGGGGACTTGGCAGCCGATGGTGTATCAAACAAGGGGGTCGATTAATCTTGTCTGACAGATTTAACCACCTACCCGTTTCGCTCGGTTCGCTGACCACCTGTCAATCAACTGCTGTCCATGAGGCGCGCACTTGTTTCTCCCTCAAACACCCAGTAGAGGAACTGGAAAGTAAGTAAAGGCCGTCGCCGGAATTCTAGTCCTGCCCAGAGCCGGGACCGTCAGAACCTTCTCATATTTGAACCGAACGGGAAGCACCGTGCATGTCTCGGAGCGCGTCGTAGATTGTTCGGGAAGGCAAAACGGTATGCAGACGTGAAGAGACGGTCAGGTTCGTTGACGGCGCCAGATCCCACCACCTTACTTAAATCCTATACCCCACGATCCCCACGATAAGGAAGGTCACGGTGTACCGACATCATCACGTATTCAAAGAGCGCGGGATTTGGTAGAGAGCAGCAACTTCAGCGGCTCACTTCGGATTGCGTATCATCAACAAGAAGGAGAAGGAGGAGGAGGAGAAGGAGGGGAGGAGGGAAGGCATTGGGAACTCACACCGACCCCGACACCGAACCCGAACTTGACGGCCATCCCTCGTTACATTTATCGTCGCAGCGAACCTCTGATTCCCGCCCGCCGCCACTGTTCCTCTCAGGCCTTGCTTCTGATGAGCTCGATTATAACGCGTATCTAGACAAGGTTGCCTCCACCCGCGAGATAGGACAATGAAGCCACGCGTGCAACGGACGTCGACGAGGCTCAAAATAGTGGTGATGCCGTGCCAGCTTGTGGAATTCAAATGTCAACAGGTTCAAAAATCAAGACACGCCGTCCAAAGACCATCTCTACTACGCTTACCCCGCAGTGCCAACCCCCGGGGTCCCTCGGTAAACAGCGGTTTGGCGCATCGCCTTGCAGCAGCAGCAGCTCCGACCTCCATGTATGAGAGGCACCGAGTTTTTCGAGATCGAAACCGAGAACTTTGCACGTTCTGCCAACCCCCGTTGCGCCGTGTCCCCGCGTGGGACTCCGGCCCCTTTTCGCGATTGGACGCCGAACTCCACGATACCGTGTCCGAGCCCCGAGTCCAATCGCATCATAGGCTCTACCGACCTACCGATTTCCGCCCGCCGGGACGCTAGCCATTCCTGGCTTTGAATCCTCCATTGGCCTACAATACACCACGAAGCAGCACGATTCGCGATTCGCGATCCTCTATTTTTGGTAACATACCTACCTAAGCTCCAACGCGGGGAGCAGATCTTCGGATCCGCAACCGCCACCGCACCGGTCCCCCTGCGGCGTATCCGACAGACCATTGCGGCATTGTGGTACATACCTAGCCGTCTTCCTCCGTCATGTCGACCTCCTCACACGTCCCGGGGAATGCCGTGCCTGACACGCAACTAGGACTCAGCAATGAAGAGATACAACTACTACGACATGGCCAGCAAACCGTGGCGGCCGCAGGGGGCGGCGGAGGAGGAGGAGGAGGAGGAGGAGGAGGAGGAGGAGGCGAATCGACCTCGTCCCGCGCAGCGAGCCGCGCCTCATCTCAAGGCCTGCTCGTTATGGACCCTTCCTCTCTGGCCGCTCTAGGCCGGCACTTTGACCGGGTCATGCAGCGCATCCAGCAGCAGCTCGAGTATTTGATAGAGCAGTCCCAGCAGGTCAACCTGGAGGTGTACGACCGCGCCGGCAACCTGGTCGATAATGCCGACCGCGAGATTGCGCGGTACCACAGCCTCATGGCCCAGATCGACGAGCTCGAGCTGGATTTTGATCGTATATCCCATATTCGGGAAATCGTGGCCGGGTTTCGTCAGCGCGCCGAGGATCTAGAGCGCGAGTTGGAGATATCGGGGAGTGGTGCGTCACGAAGGGATCGCCATGGACATGGGCATCGCCACTCATCGCATCGCAGTCATGGACATCATCATTCGAGCTCTGGGAGGCAAAGGAGTTGAGCAAGTCGGAATCAGAAGGGTCAGAGACTCAAGGTAGATGAATTATCCTTTCGGGTAACTCACTAAACGACGAGCCATATTACGGGTCAGAGTGCCAGCCAGCAATGGAAGAAGGAGAATACCACATAGGACGGAATATGATATACAACTTCATGCAACAAAGGCAGCAACAGTACAGCCATACATCGGAAAATATGAGGATATCCTCCAGGTCATGAAACAGATAGAAGGCACCAGGTCCCGCGACCATCAGCAAAACATGTCATGGAAATCATTTGGGCGTTTTTGGGGGTCATCAGGAAGCATATTTAGCGATATTCGGTGTGCACGGTGTTCAAGCTCTCGCCATTTATGAGTACGACGACGGGTCGACGGAGAACAGTACCGCCAGCTAAAAGGTGCAATACAATCACGTTCAATTATTGAAGGAAGACGGCGCTCAGGGGAATGTGGTCACGAGAGTGAAGTCCTCAAGGGCAGACATAGAGTTGGTAAAAATAATTGGGGGAATTTGTAACGTCATTTACTTCCGTTTCTGCTTCTCCTCTCCTATGTGATCGCACCGTGCCTTATCTAGAAAGACGGCGAGACAGGCCCCGCGGCTTGTGACATCTGGCATACTTATCAACGGCTTAGCCAGGCTTTACTCACTCCTTTCATTCCTGTCTATATCCAGTTATATATCCCAGATTATGAGCAAGCATGTTCCATGTGTCATGTTGCTACGAGTGTACTAGCAAAGGGTCAAGGCGCATAAACACCTTCAATAATATATGTGGTACGACCGGCTCTCCACGCCGGTCGATGGCGTAGTTTCGCTGTAGTTCGTTTGGTCGACCATAAGAGGTGGATATCCACACGGATCAAGGACGATAGCAATGACCTCTCCAAGCGACAGTGTCACCCTTTGATATATCACTCACTGACCACCCATCTCCTCATCTTCATCACTCATCTCCTCATCCGAACTGCGATAAAGCACCACCACCCTATTATCCTCCTTCATTTTCCTCCTATACCTCCCCGCCGCACTAGCGCGAACCCTTGTCTCGGTATCCAACTTCTCCTTTGCCTCCGCCGCGAGCTCCTTCATGGTGTGCTTGACATTCTTGGAAAGGATCCCCATCCAACCAGAGTGTGGCTTGCACTTCTTCTTGGTGCACATGCCTGCCGTCAGGGGGTCAATTTTAGGAACACCGTTGATTCCGTTGCGGCGGTCCCAGCCATTGACGCCATTGACACTACCTTCCTCATCTTCCTCATCGTCGCCGTCTTCCTCGTCGTCTTCATCTTCGTGCTCACTCTTGATACGCACCGCAGATTCCGACAACAAAGCCAACAAATCTGTAGGCGCGTCCATCCGTCCCCTCTTAAAAATCGCTTCTCCCTCGTCGCTCTTCAAAAAGACACTAAACGCGTGAATTGCCCCGACTGTGTCCAGCCGCGTGTCGTAGCCGCACAGATCCTTGGCCGTGCCCTTCCCCGCCATGATGGCCGCCTCGCGTCGCTTCACCGCCATGTCGAGCAGCTGGAGCATCTTCTTGCAGAGCCCAATCTCCTCGCCCAGAGCGTAGCGGTCGGCGGCGGAGCGGTCGAGGATGGACCGCTCTTCTGGCGTGAGGACTACTGAGAGGTCGGCGGTGTTCCAGAAATTTGGGGGGACGCCTGTGAGGGTGGGTTAGCTTGGTGTACCTGGAGGGAAAGGGGAGTGGGTTGGTGGGTTGAAAAGAGTGTGATGAAAATGTGGGTGGGAAATAAGTTTGGATATGATGAGTGGGGCGAGAAGATGAAGGTTGACTGATGAATGAAGTATAATGACGTGAGAGCCACATACCGAAAGGTTCATCCCCAAGATGCCATGGCGGATCATCATGGCCTGGTTTACTATCCGGCGGATTCAAGAGTCCCATAAACTCCTGCCGAGTCAATTTGTCCATGCCCACCTCTCTTGTTCGTGGCAGCGTAGCAACCAGCTGATCCCACCATGCATTGCAATGTTCCGGCGAGCAGAAAATGCTGCGCTCCTCTCTGGCATCCTCGTAAATCTTGGCCGGCTGGTCACACCCATCGAGCGAGCACATCTTCTTGTACCGAGTAACCAAGCCACGGCCGGGAACGGCACACCTGGGGCAGATATATCTCTGCACCAGGTTCTCGCCTGTGTACTTGTCCATGTCGATACACTCGCCGTGGAACCAGTCCTCGCAACGGTCACATGCTATCATGAACCGATGATTGTCAGGTCCGCCGCAGATACAGTAGGGGCCGCTGTCGGACTCGCTCATTCCGCTGCCTCCTCCGTCTTGCCTACCGGCTAGGCTACCGGCTGGACTACCTCCGTCGTCGAATTCGCTAGGTAGAGTCGTCGCTGATGTGTCGATCTTCTTCCTGGTTCCGCCTCCTCCTGTTGTTGTTGCTGCTCCCTTGGCCGTGCCTTTCCTGGCCCCTCCGCCTGCTGTCCGTGCCCGCTTGGGTGCCTTGATGGTAGTTGCAGTACCCCGCCTCCTCGACTTTGGTGTTTTTGATGATGTCGTCTGCGACTTGGCCATAGTTGCTGGTGAGCCGAATTTATCATCACCCATTATATGGTCACCGTCCTCGTCGCTACTAGAGTGTTCGGAGCCACCGTAGAAGCGACGATCACCTTGTTGTGAAACATCGTTGATATAGTGAGATGCGGATGCAAATGACATTTTGTTCTTGCTGGCGTTGGTGCTTTTAGTTGTTTGATCACTCTCGGCGACCGAAGGACTGGTTTGTCTCCCGCTTTCATCCGTCGTTGGACTGGCTGCTGCCTCTGATGCGGCCGGCTCAAGAGTAAAGAAGGAATTTGAAAATGAGGAGGCCATCCTGGTCGATTTTGAATGACGTGAAGTGCTAGCAATTGTTACTCAACCTGCGTGGCAGTGGCAGTGGCAGCTACCGCCACTTCACCAAACTACGGGTGCAGGTGCCAACCTGGAGGCAACCTGAACTAAATTCGCAGTGCAGAGAAAACGCTGGGAGATTCGTGCTTAACATTCGACGCACGGCATCTTGATGCCAATTGCCTACCGAAGCAACGAAGTTCAACCGGCAACACGCTTGAGCAATTTCGCCAAGGGTGATACCGTTTGAACGATAGTGACCCTGGCATGAAGATTGGGATCAGGATAGGGATGAAGGTGGTTTGAGTGGACGCGATCCAAAGGCGTCTAACATGATACCAACGGCTTGGCAATATTCGCTAAGCGCATAGCGTGTCAACCCGACGACCCTGAGCTTCAGTGCCCCACTTTATTTTTGATCCCGCGGGCCGGGACCTGGAAGCTTTTAGAGCAAGCACAGGCCGTGCCGACTGCCGCCCGTATTGCGCGGGGAGATTTTGCGCTGCAAGCCGTCTGGAGTCCGGACTCCTCCGTTAGCCTTCCTCAAGGTCACCTCGCCGGTCATTTGTCATCCGGTCCGCGTCTGATTTTTGGAAGTCAACATTCGAGATTCCACTTTGATTGTCAACTACAACGAACAATACCACCGCGCGAATGAACATGTCGCACGCCATTGCGCCCATGCGCACCTTTTCCAGTGTCCTCTCCAGGACCCCCGCGAGGCAATGCCAGCGGTTCATCTCGACAGCTACAACCACCCGGCCTACCGTCCCGAGACTCCAAGCCCAGCTCCATCAGCCAGTGGCGCAACGCAGGACTTATAAGACCGTTGAGGAAGCAAAGAGCAAATACCGTTCGGGAGTACGTCTGCGTGTCGTCGACTAGACGCGTCTTCCGCCTCACACATTCCCTACGACAACAATCAGCTGACACTAGCGACTGTTGCGGGTAGCCCTTTTCCTGGAAGGCCGGCCTTCTCTTCGTCCTCACCGGCGCCGGCTTGCTATGGTACTTTGAGCACGAGAAGCAGCGCATGCAGCGCAAGAGGATAGCCGATGCGACCAAGGGTGTTGGCAGGCCAAAGGTCGGCGGCCCGTTCGAGCTGATCGACCAGAACGGCAAGCCCGTGACGGAGAAGGATCTCAAGGGTCGCTATTCCTTGGTTAGTTTGATCTAGACGCAATCTTTTGCAACACAAAGCCCCTGCGCTTTCACATTCAAGCTCGCTGACCAAATCCTTTACTTTCTTACAGGTCTACTTCGGCTTCAGCCACTGCCCCGACATCTGCCCCGAGGAGCTTGACAAGATGGCGGCCATGTTCGAAAAGGTGGAGGCCGAGCGTCCTGGCGCTCTCAAGCCTGTCTTCGTTACCTGCGATCCGGCGCGCGATACCCCCCAGGTGCTCAAGGAGTACTTGGCCGAGTTCCACCCCCTGTTCATCGGCTTGACGGGCACATACGACCAGATCAAGGCCATGTGCAAGGCGTACCGCGTCTACTTCAGCACTCCCTCCAAGGTCGAGCCTGGCCAGGACTACCTCGTCGACCATAGTATCTACTTCTACTTGATGGATCCCGAGGGTGATTTCGTTGAGGCCCTCGGCCGCCAACACTCGCCTGACCAGGCTGCCAAGGTGATCTTGGACCACATGAAGGATTGGCAGGGTAAGTGGAAGAAGGATTAGGCGGACATCTGACTTGATACAAAAGCAAAAGATACAGAGTGTAGAAAACGTGTACGATAAATCGCCTTCGGTACTTATACATTAAAGGATTTCTTCTGTCGGGCAGCGATACCGAGCGATGGTGCCTCCAAGTTCTTGGATATGCGTCGGGCGGGCTCGGATTTCTTTTGTCACTTTAGACAATTTCGGGTTCTGTTCGCATCCCGGTCTTCAAGTATAACAAGATGCGCCAGTTGGGCTCGATGACCAAGTCGAATGTCTAATGGTATGCTAGAATACGGACTAAGGTCCTTAGCGACCTTGCAGCTACAAGCCAAATTGTAAGGCAACCTTAACACGGCATGACATAACAGGCAACATATTAATTGTGCTTCATCAAGTAGTTGATGTAATGGGGATCAAGAGAAAGGATACGGCGTACAAACTGGTCGCGTGTCAACCGTGAGTCGTGACACCAACACTCTTATGTACTCGGCAACGGAGCCTGTCGTATCTTATCGGATGTTACGTCATGGTCAGCACGTGCGGTTTTTCCAAAGCTGTGGTAACAGAAGGTGGGGTCGCCGTAGTGCAGTGGGTTTTTCCATTCGTGCCTTTCTTTTTTTTTCTTTTCTACCTACCTAATTGACAATCGATGTTCCAACCATTGGCGGCGCCTACTCCCTTGCACTGCGCCAACGAGAAAGGGCCCTGGATTTTTTTTGCTCTTTCCTGCGATCGGTGCCCCCACGTCGAGTGCATCGCAGTCACTCCAAATCCTATCGTTTATGTCTTATTTGCTGTGTTGAAAAGATTGCTCTTCCTTGTTTCCATAAGTGATACGGAAAGTTTAGGTCATACGTAAGGTAAGGTACAGTATGTGAAAGAGGGAAGACGACTTACATGCATGGTTGGGCAGTCGTACACTACTACGGTAGATAAGGACTCATTGGACCGTGGAGCCCGAAACGCATCAATCAGACATCTTGTCTTTAAACAACACTTTAACACTTCTCGCAATTTTATCTATTTTCTTTGCCTTCGTAAAGTATCTCATATCGGAGTAGATTTACCATTTGCGATCTTGGCTGAGATTCAGAGGCAATAGACCGGCGTGGGGTTTCCCTCTTCACTTCATCGCCGGCGTGATCTTCGGGGCTCCAGGCCGACAAACGCACCCGCTCCAGGCGACTTCCAGGCACACACTACCCACTCGAGTCGCCGACTAGTGTATCGTCTCACCCGTGTGGAGCCCCTCGTGAAAAGAAAGAGACGGGTCGGCTCGGAAGGTCGCGGTCGCAGACGACATATCTTCAGCCCGTGGTAATCTCAAAAGAAAACTTCTACATTTGATCTCAATCGCGCCATATCGCTTTGACATTGACCAACGCGACCTCCATTTAGTTACGCTGGTTTGGGCAAAATTCCCATCTGTTTCATCCAATACCATGTCGGCGCCGTCCTCCGTTAACGAATCCACGAACGGGTCTGTCAATGGACCAACGATCCGCCCCAGACGCTCGGCACTCAAATATGAAGGCGACAGTGACAGAGTACACTCTTCGGGCGCATCTTCCAAAGGTTGGTGGTTCGCTCTCTTTGTTTCTTGCTTCTTTCTTTCTTTTGAGACTTGTTTGCACGACCCATGATGCGTGTACGTACAGTGAGCCACCCTTTATCGTGTGCCACCCCAAGATAAGCTCTCGCTACCAGAGAAGTCTGACGGCGAAAACGGCAGCCTGGATGTGAGCATTGTTCGTCTCATGTATCACGATATCGATCAGATGAATAGGCGGATGTGGGCATTCCAGCCCATGTCGTGTTACCAAGGGAAGCAAGGGGGTGAGTGGGCAAAGCTCACTTTGCCAATCTCAGAAATTTCCGTATATATAACACAAGTTTATCCCGGGTCAGAGAGTTGTGGTTGACTTTGCGTAGCTGTGCAGATTGCGGAACCTGAGACTCCTTCTGTGGAAGAGCACCACGTTAAGAAACAGTTCTCTGCGGGCGTCGCCAAAAGACTTGGTGGCCGACCTGCACCCACCTCAACCCCATCGAGAACCTCACTCGCTTCTGGTACCAGCCAAGCGGACATCGACAACTCCGGCAGTCCGACTGTGCTGACTGCATCACCTGCCCCAATGGATGAATCTCCGGCACACGGTCCACAAGGTCGTCACCGTAGCAAAATAGACAGGATCAGTGAGCGACTGGTCGCCCAAGTAGCGGAATGGATTCAGCATGAAAAGACCAAGAGGGAAACTAGAAAGACAGTGAAGCTTCTTCGACGGCGCAAGACACCACCCATCCATGTGAACGGAGAGCCTACCGTCTCCTCGCCTACCCGCCCTCGTTCGGATTCCATCAGTACAGACTCGAGCGAGGTTTCTTTGGACAGACTGCAAAAGATCCTCAATGACGGCATGTCTGCTCTCGGCCTAGACCAGGTCCCGCAGCTAGGCCCCCGTCTCGGACGCAGACGATCTAGGAGGAGTCTCAAGGCGCCTCCTGCCCGCACAGCCTCTTCCGACACAGAATTTTTTGATGGCGATGTCGTTGTTCCTAGCTGTGACGTGTTCCTCGACAACTCGAAGACCATGAGTTACTCGGGCGGCAAGGCGACCACCGAGGATACGCCTTCACAAGCCAGCCGTAGGGAAGAGAAGGAGAAGCAGGCTTGGCTCACGTTCAAGAACGAGATCATCAGGCTGGCACACACTCTTAGGTTGAAGGGGTGGAGGCGCATTCCGCTCAACGGTGGTGAGACAATCTCTGTTGAGCGACTCAGCGGAGCGCTGACGAACGCTGTGTATGTGGTGTCACCGCCCCCTGAATCTATTTTGCCTCCGCAGGAGGGCAAGAGACAGCCGGAAAAGGTCTTGCTCAGAGTCTACGGCCCTCAAGTTGAGCATTTGATCGACCGAGAAATCGAATTAGGCGTTCTCAAGCGCCTGGCGAGAAAGAAGATTGGCCCTCGGTTGCTCGGTACCTTTTTGAACGGCCGCTTCGAGCAGTACTTCAACTCCACCACGTTGACGCCAGAGAATCTTCGTGAGCCTGAGACATCCAAACAAATCGCCAAACGCATGAGAGAACTCCATGACGGCGTTGAGCTTCTTGAGCATGAAAAGGATGAAGGTCCTGGTGTCTGGAGAAACTGGGATAGGTGGCTCGACCAGGCTGAGAAGACGGCCATGTACCTCGACAACCAGGTTGCAGCCCAGCTTCAAGAAACCACTCGCCACAAGGAGACTTGGAAGACTAGGGGTTTCGTCTGCGGTGTCGAGTGGCCCGTATTCAGAAAGATGGTTCAAAAGTACCGCAAGTTCCTTGAGGACTATTATGGCAGCCCTACCAAAATAAGGGAAAAGTTGGTCTTTGCCCACAATGATGTTTGTCACCGCATATCCTGTTATTCACTAAGAAAAATTATTGACCGCGAATCTAGACTCAATACGGGAACATTTTGCGCATTCGGCCCGACGATAAGAAGTCGCCTTTGCTGCAGCCCGCCAACGAACACAAGCAGTTGATCGTCATCGATTTTGAGTATGCCGGAGCGAACTTGGCCGGCCTGGAGTTTGCCAATCACTTCTCCGAATGGACCTACAACTATCACGATCCTGTTACGCCACACGTTTGCGACGCTACCAAGTATCCAACCCTCGAACAGCAGCGGCGGTTCATCAAGGCCTACGTGGACCACCAGCCGAAGTTCCCTTCGGTACCTGGTGTATCAACACCATCGGTGACACCGTCAAGCACGGACACGCCTAGGCCCGGCATGCTTCAGAGCACCAACTCGGCAAGCTCCATTGTGGAATTCATGTTGGACGCCCGCGTGCCGCCAGGTGGGTGGAAAGAAGAGGACGCCCGTCGTGAAGCCGAGTCGGAGAAGAGGATCAAGGAACTCTTGGAAGAAACCCGGCTCTGGCGAGTTGCCAACAGCGCTCAATGGGTGGTATGGGGCATCATCCAGGCGAAGATTCCCGGACTGAATGATGGGGCGAAAGACGTGGTAACGGCGCCGGAAGGCAGCGTGCCGGACGAGGAGCTTGAGGCGGAAGAGGAGGCCGATGCGTTCGACTACCTGGGCTACTCGCAGGAGAGGGCCTTTTTCTTTTGGGCGGACTGTGTACGCCTTGGGCTTGTCACAGAGGAGGAGTTGCCGGAGAACGTTCGTTGCAGGCTTAAGTTTGTTGAGCAGTGATGAGGCCTCTGAGGCTCTCAAGATGAAACAGAAAATAGGAGGTGATTCCGGTAATTATGGAGAAGGGATATGATAAGGCGAAGAGGAAGAAGTGGGTTAAGGCCAACGCATAACGTCAGTGGCTAGGCCCGGAGCGGAGTGGCCCGACCTATATACCTACTGTTGAGCCTTTTGCATATTTACATATACAGCCGCACGTTACAGCTCGACGGCTTCGTGCGATGCGAGGGCGCTGACGTGACCTGCATAGCCAGCCAGGGCCTGCATAGCGTAGCAGTTGGTAGTTCCAATGATATGGGAAAGCGGTGTATCTACGAGCATGCATGATTTACAGATTTGTATGTACATTTAGAGCCCTTTGCTCACACCGTGAGTGTCAACATTTACTGTCGAAGTCTACTCCACGTTGTATTTCAACATGGGCGTTGTGACACAGGTACGTACCTTCTAAGTGATGCCTGCGTGTCAATGTGCACAGTTCCGATGTATGAAGCCTCCCCCGCAATCATTGCACACGCCGTTGCAGTTCATCTCAACTTCCATTTATGAGGGCACTGTGTTAATAGTGTAAGTGCCCAATTCTCAATGCCAAGACATGTTTGATAGCTTTCACTTATTGCGGTTCATGTCTCCTCCCTCTTCAGTTTTCCTCCCTCTTGTCCTCAAATCTCTGTCCTCCATGATTGATCTTATTGCTTGAAAGAGATGACTCGGCCCATCATGCACACAGCTCTGGATCGTCTGAACCTGTGTCAAATCTCGAAAAGAATTAACTATGTAGTTGAACCTTCCGCGTTACATGGCGTGTAATACCGAGAGACACCAGAGGCCCAACAAAAGCGCGAAAACCACCAATGTCCACGTTGAAGGAAAGCGGGGGGCTGGCAAGGCTGGTCGCGGCTCGCCCAACCACCGGAGGCAATACGAAGCCATTCGGGCAACGTCCTTCCCAACCTCCACAGACGTTGTCATAGGGCGAGCAGGGCGCGAGTCGGCCAAAAGGTACAAACGGAACGCATTTGCGACATTGTAGAGAGGTCGCCTGCATCATCATCAACAACTTGCTAGTTGGATGGATCCTCATCATCGCCTCAAGAGGACCAAAAACGAATCGACGTTTGCGAGTCCTGCGCGCTTCTCTTCCTTGTTCTTGACCTACAGGCTACCTCCCACAGGTGACATTCAATCTCTAGCTCCACAATCTCGAATCCCAATTCGTGCATCCCGTTTTGGATCCGGTTCTGGTTCTGGTTCTGGTTCCTGCCCCTGTTGCTAGTTCCAAGCATGAACTTCGACAATCCAGATGCCAATTATGCCGAAGAGCTTGATTCACGTATGTAGGCCTGCGTCATATTACCAAGTTGACGGCATATCAAAGCAGTGTTCGATTTTTTTTATTTTTTTCTTCCTTGTCTGTAGCGAGCTGGATGCACTAACAACTGGCACTGCCCACCACTAGTAGCCCGAGGCCCACCAGATCCGCAGTATCTCACCGCCGATCCAAGGCCGCCGTCGAACCGATCCGGAGGCACGTTTGGCCACCCGGAAGAACGCCGCGTCGGTAGTAGTGCTCTTAACTCGGACTCGTCGTTCACATCTAGACCTGCTTATTCGGCAGCCGCTGCTGCTGCTCAACCGACGCCGTCTGTTTCACACCCACCATCAACTATTCCTCCGTCCGAATTCGATCGAAGCTCTGCCGAAAATAACAACACGAGCGAACAACAAGTGGATAGCGGAGCCACCGACCACCGCCGCCACGGCCACGGGACGGGAGCCCCAACCACTGCCGGAGGAACAAGCCGAGACCATTTAGCCCATGCCAGCCCCATTGTCATTCAAGGGCCACCGCGTGTCTTACCGGACTTACCACCTCTGCCGCCCCCAACTATTCGACTGCAACAACAACAACTTCTTCAACAACAACCTCAAAAAATGCAACGAAATCCATACCAGCCATTGCCAGGGGGTCTACCTGTAAACGGTGGGCTCGCAGCAGCAGCAGCAGGTCCGGTCCAAGACTTCAAAGACGATCTCGCCCGGGAAGCTGGGGTGGTCACCCCAGGTGTCGATGACACGCCCTATGTCCAGTACGCCATCGAAGCTCTCACTCGTGGGAACAGAGAATCAGGTTACTCGGGGGATGGGTCGTCGGGTAGTGAATGGGGAGCTGGAGGAGGAGGAGGAGGAGGGCTAGGTCTAGGGACTCTTCCTGTTGGCTATGTACCCGCACAGCACCAACAGCAAGAACGACATCAACCTCGAGAAGGGGAATCGACTGAACCTTCATCAACATTAGATCCCGCACTCAAACAACGTTTCGAAGAAGACAGACGCCTCCTCCAAACACCCTTCCAGCCTAAGAACCCCGCCGTCTCAGCGGACTCGCTCGCATCAACATTGTTAAAAAATGGCCCACGGCCAGCGCAGCCGCACGAATGGCGGCCGCTGGACAGAGACGCGCTCATAGCCAAAGTAGGCGAGCCCCGAGCCAACGGCCTCCCAACACTCGACTTCCTCCCGATGCCCCTAACAGCGCGCTCGCTGGTCGCCTTCATGCTGATGTGCCTCTTCATGGCTGCCGCGCTGATTTTCTCGGCCGTATGGTCACACATGCAGAACGGACTGACGGGATACGTGAGCATCTACGGGTCTTCCTACTTTCTATTTCGGATCCTGCCGCAGTTCCTGGGCGGATTATTATTGTTATGGGCGCAGTTTATCATCATCACCGCCTTTCGAATTCTTCCCTTTGTGCACCTGGCTTCGCCTAACATCAGGGAGCGAGATGGCGCGCTGTTCGAGGATATGTATCCCCGCTCGTTCCTCTGGCCGCCGCAGTTTATTGGGGGCTGGAAGGTTTGGGTTCCGATCCTGGCTACTTGGGTTTTTGGGATGACTCTCCCGTTGCTTAGTTCCCTGTTCACAGTTGTCTTCGTGGATGATGTCTGGATGTGGGCCACGGTCCAGGGCGTTGCGTGGACCGCCGTGGCGCTTTATCTGGTGATGTTCATCTCGACCGTCATTCTTTGGAGGTACTTTGCGACGCTACGATCAACGGGACTGGCGTGGGATCCGCGATCCCTGGCCGACATAATCGCTATCGTCTCCGAGACTAACACGGCGGACGAATACCGAGGCACCCAGCTAGCGAGCAACCGCGGGCGCATTCGCTTTGCGCTCCGCCACCAGGCCAACGTCCGACTGGGTTACTGGACGTGGAAGGACGGCCGGTCTGGCGTATGGTACACGTTGGGAAGTCCCATGGATCAAGGCTTCATCGCCGTACCGCTTCCCGACCAGCTGACCGGCAAAGGGATGACCAAGTTTCAAGAAAAGCAAGGTCTGATGGCCGCCATCAACATCAACCCCGTCGCCGGCAGCAACAGCGGCAGCGGGACCGGCACGGGCATGGGAACTGGCACCGGGACCGGAGAGGACTACGACATGGAAGCCGTCTCAGATGGCACCCCTTCCCCACAAGGCCGTTATCGCTACCTCCCCTGGTGCCTGCGCACCTCGCCTCTCCTACTGCTCCTAACCGGCGCTTTTATCCTCCTCCTCGCGCTCTTCATCGTCTCTTTTCTCCCCGCGACCCGCATCACCAAGGGGTTTCTCCCCGGCCTCCCCGCCGCTCCTGTACAGGGCGCCTTTTCAGCCGCCAACTTCCTCTACTCCTTCCTTCCTTCCCTGCTCGGCCTCAGCTTGTATCTCCTCTTCCAAACCATCGACATGCACCTCCGCATACTCCAGCCGTGGGCCGCCATGTCCTCCTCTAACAGCAAAGGCGGTGCCTCAGCCGACGCCTCTCTGCTGGCTGATTACGCAGCCTGCGGTCCGGTGACGGCCACCTTTCACGCGCTCAAGAACGGACACTGGCGCATGGCTTTCACCTCGGCGTGTTCGACCCTGTTCATCCTGCTTCCCGTCCTGGGTGGCGGCATGTTCATGGCTCTGACGCAGCCTGCCGGCTCGCTGGTAGACGATCACGATGTGCCCACCAGGGAGGAACAAGTCCTAATGTTCCCCAACTTCCCCGCCTTCGCCATCGTTCTGGCGCTGTGCGTGCTCTACTTTTTGGCTCTGCTGTCCTTGCTTCCCGCAAGGAAACCGTTTCGGTTCCCACATGGCGTCACCTGTTTGGCTGAGATCATTTCTTACTTGGCGAACGAGGACCTGCTGGGCGATTTGGCATTTAAGCATTGTCGCAGCAGGGAGGAGTTGAAGGAAAAACTTGGGGTGGGCAGGGGCGTGCCGGAGACGAGGCCGAGGTGGACGTTTGGGTTGGGGTACGGCGGCAGTACCGGTGTGGCGGGCGAGGAGACGCTGGGCGTGAGGAGGGCGAGGAGGTTTACGGTGAGGAAAAGCCAGATCAAGTTTGGGGGGTTAGATCAACCCTTTTTGAGTTGAGTATCTTGCAGCAGGTGTGTTTACTATGATCTTGGATGGTGGTAATAATGATGAGAAATGTATTATGAGGATATGGTCATGATGTTTTGGTTTTAATGAGATCATGAAATTGTTTGGTGGACATGTTTTGTTTGGGTCCTGGGAGGCTCACCGCGGGTGTTACTGCACCACCCCTTTGACGAACTTTTTCAATCTTCTTGACGAGTATCAACTTCTTTGTTGGTCGAACTGTCATGTTTCAGACGCACGTTATAAAGCCTGGATGTGGTCAAAGCATTGCATTGGAGTTCGGGTTACTATTAAATTAAACCAGCATGTTGTGGTGATAGCAATCAATTACACTTTAGGACATCAAAAACCGAAGAATATTCTGTTATCAAGCATGCGTTCGGACTCGGCACATACCGATGCTGCCTTTAGCACAGACATACTCATCTCGCTGTGAAAGGCATAGCTGTGCCTTGATATCTCGGCTGTTGATATAGCATTGAGAGCAAAGGAACATGGATTGGGGGCCTCCGGCGAGGGGAAGAGCAACAATCCATTGGAAGTCATTCAGGCCACTATGTGAGAGGAGTGACCTGCACTCACACAGGACTGCGTCCCACGAGTTTGTTGACGATGTTCCGAAATCTGACCGAGATGAAATCAACTTCTCGACCGTAGTGTACACTTGTACTGGCGTACTCTTCGAGCTTTCCTTCAAAGCCTATCTTCCGGTGATGAGAAATTGGGCAAAGAGCATCAAAGGGTGTCATCAAGAGGCTCGCAAACTCCCAATGTCTCTCCCGCTTTATTAACGAATCTGGTATGATTAGCATTTACCGGGTTGGTCTGCACCATGAAATCATGAACCCCACTGGGACCGTTGACGATTCGGATCCCATGCGTGGTGAGGTAGATATAGGAGCAGTCCTATAGACGGCATTCTCACGTTCGTTCCAGGAAGAATACCCACAGACATCTTCATATGGATCTTCGATTCAACAAGGTATTCAAACCACTGTAGCTCCACAGTGAGAATGTTCTATTTCGCATCCAGAACTTGGGAATCGAGTCGTGAGAGGGAACCCAGTGGGTAACATCGACGTCAGACAGGCGTGGAGGCCATGCGATTAGGATGAGGTACGAAGGAGGCAGGAGATTGGCCGTGGTGAGAAGTAGGGCCTTGTTTGACAATCTTCGACGTTGAGAATGGGACCATGGTTGGGGCTAAAGCGGGTTCTGGGCAGCCTGCCCTGAACCATCCTCTTGGAATCTTGGGGTTCTGAGACAGGTCAGCGATTGGAGAATGCAACACTGGTGCATGAGTTTCGTCACATCTCATGTACTGCCAACGCATCGATTTCATCCATTCCAACTTCCAGCTGCCTCACATCCAGGCTACCCAGCCAGCCGCTCAATCCGAGCCAACGTGACTTTTTTAGTATTCGCCTCCGGTGAAAGTGTTAACTTGTTGGTTGTGAAGAAGGCAGGAAGGGTGCCCGGATAGAAACAAGTGTGTACATACGTACTGTACGCAAAGAACAGGCCGATATCCAATCTCGATGACTTTTTGGGAGAGGGTCGTCTTGGCTAGAGCTTCTCTTTTCATACTGATAGTGTCTGTTGATGGCTAGTGTAATGAGCTGTGCCTTGAGCTGTGCCTTGGGCCCGTTCTTTGTGCAACGACACTAGCACGCCGCATCTCCAGATTGTCTGAACGGGCCACTTCGTATCGACCGACCTACCCGTGTCACGACCGTTATGCCGTGACAGGATGCTGCGAGTCTGCTCCGGTTGTCCGACCATGCTGCCTTGCAAAGATCAAGAAGTTCTCGACAGTTTGAGCAGCGTTAGCCAGATTGATTGATTGCAGATATATTGTGGCAACTCGAGGAAGCTAGGCCGTCTTGTAGTGTCAGGCACTCGCCAGTTGTAACTTGACCTGGAGGAGATAGGATAACTGATTACCATACGGAGTCGGCCCACAACGCTCTGTGTAGGCATGATGGAACTGAGAAGAAGAAAACGAAAATTGAAAGTCAAAGAAAGATTGGCAAACAACCAGACTCGTTGGCCTGTATCTGGCAAAGAAGAGGAAGGAACGATTCAGTTCAACAGAAAGACCCATGACGTTTGTCTCAAACTCATGGCAACAGGCGGGGTTCACCTCCATTTCGTGCTTCCTGTCTGCCTCTACCTGGTGCCTTCCCGAGCGGGAATTTCACATCGTTCTGCAGTGCTTTGTGTACAACTGTGCCTGCACTTGTAAGTCAACTTGCATTGCCGAACGGCAAGTACGTGGTGAAGAGGACCACTCATTCATAAGGTCGGGTGTTGTCCAGTCCGGGAAAACGACCGAGGGTATCGTCGACACCTACCTTACAGCTTCCTTTCTCAACTGGGGCTTGAGCATTCGACTACGAGGCTTTCGCCCGGCTGAACGAATCGACACCAAGTCAAGCCATTGGCGCCCGAGTCAACTCCCTAGCGACGCCTCAGCCATTGCGCATTGACGAGTGCTCAGTTTGTCGGCTTGGCAAAAGGTTGACCGGTGCCCTGGTGAGGCGGTGAGGAGAAAAAAAAAAGGGCGGATGTGGTTTTGTCGTGACGGTCTTTACAAGCGGTCGGGCAGCGACATCTTTCCCTGCTGGACAGAGTGAGGTGCTATAGCTGGCAGTGTGCAATACCCTAGGGTCCCCGAGGAGGGGCGCATGGGGAGGCGCCCGGGCAGGGAAGCATCTCAGTGTGTCCATGTTAAGGTTCCAGCCGGTCCTGTCCAGGGTTGATGCTGAGGACAGTCCGGGCAGCAACGTGGGGGATCTCTGACCGGCCTGGAACAACACACTACACCATCATAGCATCACCTCACCCTGCTGTCAATCCATCAGCCTCATCATCCATCCCGCAGCTCGTCGTCCTCTGGTTGCCCGACACGACTACACGAGTTAACAACGGGTACCACCTTCAAAAGGGCACCCACCCGGTCGACAGCGCGGCTTTGACCTTTGGCTCTCTTTCTGCTCTTCAACAAACCATTCAGTTTCCTATTTGACCAGGCCAGACTTCATCACCGTTGCTGACACCCCGGACAACCAACCGACAACCTGCCTAGACCGGAACCCGAATTACAAGTACACTACGGTACAGTGCTAGTGCTGTCCGATCGGCCGCCTGTTTTGGCTGTTCAAACACTCGTCACCAAAACTCACCAGCCACGCATTTTTCCACTTCCATCCCATCACCAAACCCGACCTCGTCCATTTTCGCAACAGCTACCTCCAATCCACGATTACCCACCAGACTTGTTGCATTACCCCTGTTCACTGTTCACTCCACACTAGAAGAACAGGAATATTCCCTTTTGCACTTCCATTCCTGCCAGGATATTGCTTTCATATCCTGTCATGATTCACGGAACTCCGAGCTAAACAGAGACATCAAGGTGAGTGGAGAGAATCGAAAAGGCGGACGGTTGTCGCGCCGTAATGTCGGTACGGTGTGAGGGTGTGTACCTTGGTAACGACAAGCATGGACACCACCACCACCACCGATCCGTCCACAAGCATCTACAGTCTGCTTTGCAGCAATTTCTCCTTCCTCTGTCTTTGCGCATTGCATGTAACGGCAGCATCTGACCCGAATCGCAGCCTTCGGCCCACCATCCCAGCCTGCCCTCCCTAGCCTGCCTACTAGGCGCGTCGCATTTCGTCACCACCAGGGTGGTGACCCTTCAACTTGTCAACCACACCAGCGCCCGCTGGCGATGAGGGAGATATTGCCGCCGGAACACACCAACCTCCACCTTCCCAGAACCCCCGCGATTTTTACAATCCGATAACGCCCACGCAGCGTCAGCAGCGCACTCTTCCTCTCCGGTCAGCCACGGCGACACCTGCATCGGACGACGCATCCCTCACTCCGTCTTCTCAGCGAACGCTCCGTCGAACACCGCGCTTTCAAGCCGCTCGCAGTCCGAGCCCAGCCCCGAGGCCATCCCGATCTTCGCGCCGCATTCACCTCGAGGCGGCCAGCGTTGGCATCGCACCCCAACCTATCTTCGCAACTGCTGGTCCCCCTGGACTTGGACAACCCCCTCAGCCACACGGAAGCTTTCGGCAACGCCCTTTGCAAGATAGCAGCGACGATCTCAACGAAGACACGTTCCCGCCCCAGCCGTCGTTTATCCCGGAACGGACTTCATCCTTGTCCCACTCCAATCCCCTTCGCCTTTCTCGACACACAAAGAGTGCTATTCTCTGGGCTCTCGAGGAAGCTCTAAGGCAACCGTATTCCTTCTCCCCAGATCTGGACGAAGAAAACGCTTCGATGGCGGATCTACTGAGCGGCGGCGTCGGCCCTGCTACCTCCAATGGTCATGCCGTCCCATCGCCGCGACCTACCGTACCTTCTCAGACTGGCTCCCCCCAGCAGGTGATCCGTGGCCCTAGGATGATCATGCGTGAACGTGCTGAACGAGAGGCAAGACAAAAGGCCGAAAGGGAGCAGATAGAGCGTGCTCGCGCCGAAGAGGAGGCGCGTATGCTTGAGGAGACGCGTCGACAGAACGCCGAAAGGAGAAATGCTGCTGCTGGCGCTGCACCAGGTGGTAACATAGCCACCGACCCGGCCACACAACGTAGGCAAAAACGAGCTCAAGATGCCCAAGGCGGTCCCCAGGTACAGCCTGGAAATCCCCCGCAAGCGGACGTACCGCAACCTTTGCGCCCAGCTCGCACCGGTCAACCAAATCAGGCACCACAGGGCTTTACACCTGCCGCTGGGACTGGTGGTACAGCGCCTGGGCAACCAGCCGAGCCGTCAGCGCCAAATGCCGGTACCAGGATGAAGAACTCGTTCCCTCATGCCTTTGAGCGATGGGAAGCCCTGTCAGCGCACTGGGAGGGAATGACCAGCTTTTGGATACGAAAACTCCAGGAGAATACCGACGAATTCGACCGAAACCCAATTTCCGCTCAGCTATCCAGGCAGGTCAGCGACTTATCAGCAGCGGGTGCCAACCTCTTTCATGCAGTTGTCGAGCTGCAGAGGCTAC